AACTCCCCTCCTTCCATCACTCTGCTGATGGCCACCAATGCTGAGGGTCACGTGGAAGTGACCGAAGGCACCCCAGTGACCCTCACCTTCCAGGCCACTGACCCAGATGGAGACAATGTCACCTACACATTGGTTAGTGGATCACAAAGCGGCGTCCAGTTTGATGCCAGTTCTGGCAGTGTGACACTGACACCAGACACTGACACACCTGTGGCCATTGGGTAAGTACTGACCCACTAATGGTAGTGTTAATGGTGGTATGGTCAGATGAGAAGTGATACACTAACAATGTTCACATATTAAAGATGCTTACATTGTCCTTTCTAGTTTCCACAACTTGAAAAATAAATGTATGTGTCACGACGTGGTGGAATCAGGCGCTCGTCAATTTTGGTGCATGGGGAGTGGTTGGTATCATCTTAAAGCTTGTTCATTTATCTTGCTTTAGATGAAAAAATTACCCATTTATCTTGTGCAGAAGTGAAGATATTTGTGATTGAAAGAGATAAGTTCACTTGGTTTCAGCGGTAAAAATGACGAGAAAATGGCCGCCAAAGTTTGGTAATTTCAATAGATGAAGAGTCCTTGAAAACTGAAAAATGACATACTTTGTTGAGCTTTTAATCAACGTTTTTCATTATAATTCACATGGATACATGTTTTTATTTGGACATAAAAGGGTTGAACAAAAACCCAAAAATTTGATTAAAATTGCGAAACTGGTGAGAAAATGCCTATTTCCCCAATTTGTTTATTTTGACGAGCGCCTGATTTCACCACAATGCCTCACATATATAGCTTTTTATACTTGTACACACTCATGCAAACCCCCCCCCTATCCCCACCCTTATGCCCATATACACACATTTATACAAACATTAGTTCTCTTGATGGTATTAGTAGGTTTGAGGGACCAACTCATGCGTATAAAGTTTATTCACTTTGAGTTATTTACCATGAGAATTGTTTCTAGATGAAGAGTAAAATAATCAATATGCTCAGTTTGTTGAAATCTAATTATCATCAGAGTGGTGAAATCAGGCGCTCATCAAAATGATGAAATCAAAGACACCGACATTTTTCTGTCTTGTGGCAAGTTTTTTTCAATTTTTTTTTTTAGCTCAACACTTTGTATGTCCATTTATAAACATGTTTTGGTGTGGTTGTTACTTAAAAATGTTGATCATATTTGCAGTTTTCATAGACTCTATGTCATTGGAGGTCACAAAGCTTCGGCAGAGATTTTCTCAATAATTTTACAGCTGAAACCAGGCGATTCCTACCTTCTTCAATCACAAATACCTCGACTTCTGTTCAAGATAAACGGGTATATTTTTCATCAAAAGCAATGCAAATGAATAGGTTTTCTGATTATAACAATAACCGTATATGCCGAAAAATTGACAAGCGCCGGATTTGGCCGCATTGAATCAAAACTGGTTACTGATAAACAGGCATCAAAGATGAAAAAAATTAATGAAAATGGCTAGCGCTATAATAACAATTCTGGAAAACAAATCAGGTGTTTACTCAGCTTCACATTAAAATATTGGTGACAATGCACTACCTCAGAATTACAAAATTCTATTTGATACTTTTGGTCATTTTGAGATGTTCCATCTGCTCTATTAAAATTGTACTATTATTCAGAGTCGTTATCAAGATATTCAAAGAATTGCATTCAAAAACGCTTAACATGTTGTGAAACTGAACATTTTTATCATCGAATTTCTCAAAACTAGATTCTGAGCAGATAGAACTTTTTACTTCTAGGGTAGTGAATGGTTATCGCCGTTATACAAATTCTGAAAAATATCACTGGCATTTACCCAGCTTGTCATAATTCATGTCTTCGTTTCACACATCAGCGTTCAGGCCAAGGACAGCAAAGGAGCAAGCTCTGTGGCTGAGTATGTGGTCCTGGCTGTGTGTCCCTTGTGCAATGGTCAAGGGTCATGTGACCGGTCAGACACCAGAGAGGAGGAGCTAGCTGGGGGGAGGTTCTTGCTCAACGACTGCATCTGCAAGCCAGCCTATAAAGGTGCTTTTGTTTTTCTATGTTTCCTGTTAGTCGGTCTGTATCAATTTGTCTTCTGTTTTAAGTGCCTTTTGTTTATCTGTCCCACCATCTAATTTTTTTTCATGTCCCTCTGTTTGTCTGTCTGTCTGTCTGTCTGTCTGTCTGTCTGTCTGCCTATATATTTATCCACTGATGGACTTGTTTTTCAATCCTCACTCCAGTTTTGCTGTCCGTCTTTCAAGCCATCCATTTTTTTGGTCTCTCTCTCTCTCTCTCTCTCTCTCCCTCTGTCTGTCTGTCTGTCTGTCTGTCTGTCTGTCTGTCTGTCTCTCTCTGTCTGTCTGTCTCTCTGTCTGTCTCTCTGTCTCTCTGTTCAATCTATTATGTATTTCTATTGGAATATTTGTATGTCTGTCCATCATTTCTGTTGTCGGTTCTTCAGCCTGTCTTATCATTCTTTGTTTGTATGTCTATTTATCTGTCTGTCTGCCTATATACCAGTTTAACAACCTTTCTATCTACCTGCTGTCTGTTTAACTAGGTTCTTAGATTCCTATGGTCTTGGCTCTCTATCAGGTTGCAATTCCAAGAAGATTTGTCTATCTGTAGCGATGGATGTGTGTATGTGTGTGTGTGTGTGTATTTTGACCAGGTGACGACTGTGAGGAACTTGTAGATGGCTGTGCAAGTAAACCTTGTACTACTGGACAAGATTGCACCAACCTGGCCCCTAATGAAGACGAAGACAATGAGAGACGGTATCGGTGTGGGGCTTGTCCAGAGGGATATGTTGGTGATGCTGGCAATGTTGTGTGTGCTGGTGAGTTTTGTGTGTGCTGGTGAGATTTGTGTTGTCTGTGTCTGCGTGCACATGTGTGTGTGTGTGTGTGTGTGTGTTTATATGTGTGTGTGTGTGTGTGTTGTTGTTGTTGTTGTTGTTGTTGTTGTTGTATGTGTGTGTGTGTGTGTGTGTGTGTGTGTGTGTGTGTGTGTGTGTGTGTGTGTGTGTGTGTGTGTGAGAGAATCTGTTTGGGAATTGTTAGCTCAGACTGGCAATGCTATGTGAATAGATGATTTGTATTGGTGAGTATGTGTGTGTGTGTGTGTGTGTGTTTGTCTGTGTGTGTGTGTGCGTGTATGTGTGTTGGGTCTATAGGTTTGTCTAATAGAATTATAAAGTTACATATCTCCCCCCCCCCCCACGTTAAAAAAGCAACAAAGAAAGAAAGGAGATAAGGGAGATTAAACAGACACAATATTTTGCGAAGAAAGTGCTCTCAAGACAATATCATGCAAAGAAAAACCTATTGCGGACCGGCGTATGTGGTGTAGTGGTTAAGCGCTTACAGCTGTCGCACCCAGTAGATCTAATTTCGATTTCCGAGTAGGGAGAAAGGTTATCGAGTACCTGCTGTTAGAAATTCTATTGAGTTTTCTACTGGGAGTTTGTATCCCTCTTAGCCCGGTTTGGTTGTGACAGGCAGAGTCTGAAGCCCCACTCCTAAATTAAAATATCGGGTATTTGTTAGAGGTGGGTAAAATCCGGATAATCTATCCGAATAACCGGATAATTAGCAATGAGACTTTGTCCGAATTCAGACTCTTAACTCAATTTCCTGTCCTGCTTGCCGAAGTGTATGCACTCATTTGTTGAAGTGATGCTAACCCGTTTGTCGAAGTGGTTCTAACCCATTTGCAGAAGCAGTTCTATCATATTATTTGCCGAAGAGGTGCACTAACATTTTATCCGGATTTACTAAAGTGACTCATTGCCCAGCTCCAATATACAGATTCGAGGAGCGGCTGTGAGTGCGTGCTGCGCCTTCGTTGTTGTCATCTCTTATCGGGTTTTCCCGCATTGACGTTATCGGAATTCTGGGAAAGGAGCGACTTTTCGAGAAAGTGTAATCGTAGGATTTCCCCACTAAATAAAAGTTCGCTGAAGTTAAAGTCCCCGGTTTACACGAAAGTTCGGGGTTTTTTCTTTTGTTTTTTCTCATAAGCCTTTTCCCTCTACATTACAAAGATAAGCTTCGAGAAACACAGGTTTTTGTTCCCTTGTTGAATGTCGACTTTATGCGTCATGGGAAATGTACGTGTTCATCAAAAGCTCCTGACACCAAACATTCTCTACCTCTTTGCTGACACCTTCAACCGGCACATCTAAAAATAGCGATGACGTTGTCCGATCGAGAACGTTAAACTCGGCTATTGCCGACCCTCTCCACCTCTTTTCACCCCATCTCTCTCTCTCTCTCTCTCTCTCTCTCTCTCTCTCTCTCTCTCTCTCTCCTTCTCTCTCTCTCTCTCTCTCTCTCTCTCTCTCTCTCTCTCCAGTAAGTGATGCCGAAGGTAATACTCGTCATTTTAAACGAGTGTCAGGGGAATCAAAGGAACAACACACAGAGACAAAAACAACAGAGAGAGAGAGAGAGAGAGAGAGAGAGAGAGAGAGAGAGAGAGAGAGAGAGAGAGACAGAGAGAGCACATCAAGAATACATTGAAGACTGTCCAGGAAAGGGTCAATTATTGTTATTCTTCTTTCTGCTCACAGCTATGGATGATGAGTAAGGATAACGAGATCCGACGTGATGATGCCTGCTACGACCACAATGGCGGGGAGAATGTTATACTCTACCAGTGCCATCCAGAAAAAGGGAAAGGTTCCCAATACTGGATTTACAGAGATGTGAGTAACAGATTAAAAAGTAAAGTTGTTCCCGCATCCGATTATGACACTGGGGATTGCCTTGTTAGTGAGACAACTTCCTGGGCTTTTGGCATATTATTGTCGTTGGGTTGCCAGTTCTTTTCCACGCCGCCTTTACTTCCCCAACTCGAAGTCAAGTACCCATTACCGCTGGGTGGGCAGGAGGGGGCGAAAACCCGGACTTTCCGCTTCGGAAACGAGCGCACTAACAACTCCGCCAGCGCACCCAGTAACAGATTACACAGAGCAAAAATGCGCACCTTCTTACCGCTCGTTCTCACCAAACATCCGTATTCGTGTGGTATCGTGTGTGAGACGCACGAAAGAATGTATTACGTATCTGGTCTCCTTCTGTGTTCCCACCAACTGTTCGTGTTCATGCGGTAATGTTGCCGTTCGTGCTTGTGGCGAGTTTTATGGCAGCTATAAGATATTGTCCGTCTGCTTTCGTGTTGTGACACACCGCTCCCTCACCGAGTCCAATAACCACGAGGGCCCCGAGACAAAGTGCAACCAGGTACGAGGTGCCCACTACGGCTGGATCGGGCCGATCTCCCGACTCGGTCGCCTGAACCTGAACCCTATCCGCTGGAGGTATTTTAAAGTAGAGATACTATCCTTTTTCATTGCAGTACAGTTGGGTTTTTTTCTTTTAAAAGTGGGGTTGCAGGAAAAGAGGGGGGGGGGGAGGACTTTTGACTGAGAATCTGTCTGCCAGAGCCCCCACCCAGCTGGATGAAGATGTTATGCAAAACTTCCCCAACTAATGTCCATGGTGAAAATGCCCAAGTGGGAAATGCCCTTGCGGAAGTCGGAAGTACTAGGCCTCACCGCGGCCCAAGAGTGTAACGGTCTGTTCAAGCCAGAAGTGTGGCTGGGGAAAACGATCAGTCCAGCAACGGCCTCCTTCCTGGTTTGAACCGAGTGGCTAACACGGTACTACGTAGAGCAAAGATAATGTAAAATATACATCCCAGCTACCGCCGCACTGCTCTTGCGGGAGTACGCCAGTGTATTGTAACCTACGTGAAACCGGCAGTACGGCAAGAAAAGTCCAAATCGGTTTTTAAAAAGATAAAAAAAAAAAAAAAGAAGAAGAAAATGTCCAGGTGTCGATTTAAATCAGAGGTTCCTGCACCACAGTTTGACAAGCTAACTGTGGAACTAACGGCATACCCACCCCCCCCCCCAACCCCCCTTTTACCACATTTACAGAGCCGATAAAGAAAAAGAACGAGGAGAAACTTAACTGTATTATTATTATTAATATTATAACGGTTTTCTTCATGGTGTCAGGCAGTAAACGTATTCATTGTACATAGTCCTGTCTGTAAGGGTCATAGCATCTAGCATGAGTAGTACTATTTTGAAGGGGAAAATAGTTAAAACTAGAACCTAGGCTTAGTCTGTATCGCAACAACTGCTGAAAAAATCTTTGCGGCTTAAACAAAAATGTTTGGGTGGTTGGTTCTTTTCTTTGTTTGATTCTTTTTTTTTTTTACCAAACAGTTACCACTCATTTTGAAACTATGTAAGTCCAGTTTCATGAGATCCTTATGCCCAATGTCCGCTGTATCCCATGATCTTATTCTGATGCGGAAACAATGTATTTAAACTATTTTTCACCATTTATACTATATCGTATTAAGCTTAATTTATAGGAATGTTTTGTGAAGTTTTCATATACTTCCTTCAGAGAACACTTCTTACGTTTTTAGGCTTAAAAAATATTTACGAAACACAACCTGTACACAACATATTATCAAATTTATAATTCCGAGAAGTCTGTCATTGTTTTCCCTAATCATACCGGTGTCTAAAAATGAGCACCTGCTTAAAGGGTAATAACTCCGTTATTTTAGACCAATTTAAACAAAACTTCGAAGAAATAAATTTCAACCAGGGGACATCACGTTTGTCAATATGAAGAGAATCAACTCCCCTGTTCGAAAATTGTATTTATTTTTAATTCAGGCGAAGTTGGAAGAGACGCAAAACTTTGCAACTTTTAAAAATCAACCAAGTTGTTTTATTTCAAATAGCTACTATCTCTGTGCATTGAAGAACAAATTTATACAAAATTTATAATGCCAATTAAACTCATGGCAGGCGGGCGTTACTTAAATTGCATGTTCCAAGTGCAAATCATTTCTCCCCATATCAACTTCAATGTGTCAGCGGAAATTTTGGATAACTGTGGAATGTTTCTAAGTGGATTGTTTGGACCTCCTGTTCAACATTGACTATCAACTGTTCGATTGTTTGTGGGTTGTTTCCGTGAAGTCAGTCACAAGCCCCCAAACGAAATAATTGAAGGGGTTCAAGTTGAGGGAATGTCGTGGCCATTCATTTGCAAGCTTTCGGCTCATAAGGCGTTCCGCTAACCTTTCTTGCAATCTTGCAAGGGCCACTTTTAATGTGTGGGGTGTGACCCTGTCTCACTGGAACCTAGCCTCCTCAACAGCATAAGGCCTTTTCCTCCCAAAACTTCTCCTAAATTTTTTTAGCACAGGGAGACACCCATCTGAAGTGACTGTCTTGATATTACAGTTTTAGTCCTGAAACCAGAACAGGCCGACCACGCCACTCTAACTGAATGATTTTTAGAAGTAAAGTTTTGTGTTTTACCCAGTTTTGATTGCAATGTTTAAAACTTGCTATTTCTCAAACACGTGAATTGAAATTCTTTACACATGCATGATGTCTCCCTTTTTGATTTTAATTTCGAAGTGGTTTAAAAAAAAATCAGTTCATAGATGGCCGAGTCATTGCCTCCTAAGTGGGTTCCTTTTTTTAGACACTCTGTAACAGCAAACGCCTCTAAATCCCCCCCCCCCCCAAAAAAAAAGTCAAAGATGTGTTGAGTTAGGCGGAAAACCTGAAGAACGGCACAAGTATATCAAAATGCTGTCTCTATCCTTTTCCACAGGACCAGACCCTGTTCCACCCGGCCTCCAATCTGTGCCTCGAGCTGTCCACGATGGATGCCACCAAAGTGACAATGAAGGAGTGCCGGGGCAGTGACAGACAAAAGTGGATATGGGGAAAGGGATTGCCTAAACTTAATGAGGAAATACGTAAAGAGTAGCTGATGCTGTTTAAATGGGGTGGCTGTTTTGTTAAGTTCTGTTGAATGTTTGAGAATAGCAGGTTGGAACACGAGATTGTATGATAAATTGTTATATTTCTGTTCGTAGTGTGGGAATCGATGATGACTATGTGAATGCGTATGTATGTTTAGATCTGTAAATATAATTGCTATATTGCCACTACATAATTATTGAGAGAGATGTTTGACTGAACTAGGACAGCCTGGTGTACTTTATGTGTTGGTGGGTTCAGGAATGCTGCTACTTTCCCTTCATTTTCTTACCTCATTGTATCCTCTCGTTGGGAAAAAAAGAATTTTCGATCAAAGTAAAGTATACCCGCCAACGCCTTTTCACGCATCAAGATAATCACAGAGAGTTGTTCCATTTTCCTGGACACCACTGTGACCCCACTGTGATCCCCAGTGTGACCCTTGTGGTTGCCCACCTGGTCAAGCAGTTCGTGATGTGGAGGTTTCCTTCACTTTACATCAGAATTCGAGCGTATGCATTTCATATTTCATTTTGGTGCCTTAAACATGTATTTTTCAACTCGTGTGCCTCTTTTTGGTTTCGATATGCAACTACTTTGGTCACTTATATCGACACGATTATATCGACACGATTATATCGACACGAGACCATTTGTGAAAGAAGAGCCTAAAGAAAAGATATAGGGAAGCTGAGCCGGGAGGGGGTGGGAACAAAGAGTAACATGGATGGACAACATAATAACAATTCTCTTGGCCTGGGTATAGCAGCATGTGCAACGGCAGTTCGCGACCTTGAAGGATGGGGGGTCTTGACACGTCAACCTCTGTATCACAGATGATACCTCCAGAGAAAAGAATGCAACTATATCATCATCTCCTGTGTAAAGCATAACATTAGCATTCTAAAAATCCAAGAAAGTCTCCGAGAGGGGTTTCATTTCAAATGTTTTTCTCTCACTTATGACGCTATGTGGGTTCAATTCAGGGTTTGAACTCTTCATGCTATCACTTTTTGTCGGACAAATGTTTAAGTGTTTCAGGTCCTTGAAGAGTCGTTTTAACTTTGACAATGTTGCTGTTTACAATCAAATTACAATAATTTAAGAAATGTGATGGTGTAATTTTTACGCATTATACGGTATTGTCTCTTTCTCCTCTAAAACATAATACTAAGCCTTAAAACCTGGTTAAAATTCCATCAGTCCTCACTTTGCACCAATTAAAACGATCATGCGTGCTGCTACAGATTATGACTGGCAATCACATCGACTACATCTGAAGTTCGGGATAATAGGCAAGTCGTATTTTGGGTCACTAGAAACGCATACTTTTGTGCTCACGATTTTCTTTTTTCTTTTCTCAGACTTCTCACTGCAGAATAGCTGATCTGGCAAGATAACTCTGACTTTTGTAAAGTAAAGAAACTGATTTTCCCTCTGGCCCTGAAGACCGGCAAACACATTCCAAAAATATGCAATGGGGCCTTCTCTGCGCATTGATCGTATACAATAGCTCTGACAGTCAGCGCTGCAGTGGCCACATGTTGCCAAAAAACAAATTAGGAAAACGGTGACTATGGCAAGAATTAGAAGGGGTCGATCATTTCCAATTACCCACCATTTACCTACAAGTCAGCTGCTTGTTTAAGCTGTCCCACAGTAAGTTGGGACCTGGTGCAGGGATTGGTGTCAGAGGTGAAGTGGGTTCAGGCCATACCTCTTTGATTCAGGTTTTTGGCCGTTTCATGCAGAAGACTAGAGTACAATTCCTACGCGTGGAAGTTATTTAATCGAGTGCCTGCTTCAGTCTTTAGCTTTAGAACGTTTTACAGCTCTTACAACACCATATAATCATTAAAATGAAAGATTAGAGGTGTTACAAGAGAGTCATAAACACAAAAAGGAGAAGGAGAGATAAGGACGATAGATGTTTGATAGGCAAGAAAGAGCAAACCATACCAGAATACCCGTTAACCACCAACGTCGTCTGTCTGCAAGGATGCTGTATTCCCCTCTAACTAATGGCTATTAGGGTTGAAGCAGCCCGCCTTCTAAATCATCTACACTGAGACGACCAGAGTGTAGACATTAAAATATATTGCAATCAGTCAGTCAGCCTACTGCATAGTGGGTCTACTTCAACAGAACTCTGGGTGTTCAATTGATTCTTTGTGGGCGGGTGTTCTGTT